AAGTTTTAATTTTGAAACTTGGTGTGTCTCTCCTTTTGTTGCGGCCGTCTTGAGCCAGGTCGTAACAGTATTTAATGGAGCCATGTAAAGTTTTACCTTCATACTATGAACATTTTCAGTGTTAGGGACTCTTGAAGTACAAAGATGTGGGTTCATTTCTGAGCCTCATGACTTCATGAGTACAGCAGATAGACACATGATGTTTAGGAGGAAGAACACATCTGAGTTCTGTTAACAAATCAATTTTGTCTCAACTCCAGGTGTCACAATCTGAACACTAAATCCATTTTGTGTTCATTTGTTTCTATAGAATATTTCTATATTTGTTACTAGCATCAGTATTATGGGATGTCTCATAGTGGTACCAGTCAGACTGCAGCAGTTTAATGTCTAGAGTCATAGAAACAATCATTGGTACCCTGGATGTGTTTCTGGTTTCTGACCATTCACTAGAGAAAACTTTACAAAGTGCATTCTGGGTAAATTTTTCAGGCTCATATCAGCATGTGTGATGGTGGTTGGGCAGGACAAGTTCTAGATGATGGAAGGACCGCTTGATACCAGGATCATCTTGTAGACATGATCCCTTCTGTCTAAATAATTCTTATGCAGGACTAGTTTAACGTTCATGAATGTATGAATAGCTGATTGATTTTCATGGAATGACCTGTGAGCTTGCAGCTAATGTAGGTAATGCTCAAGATTTCATAAATTAATGTGGGTGTCAGTGTTGCGGTTGTCCAGCAGAGGGTGGCCAAGCACTTATAATGCACTCATCAGAGTGTTTGACCACAATAGACCAGGAGACGTTGCAGGTCAGGGACACCACAAACTGGACGTCCTAGCTGAATGTGTTCACGACCTACATGTTTTCTTGACCCGCTGTTGTCACCATGAGTCAGGTCTTCAGCTCAGAGGGAGTTACCAGCTTCAGCAGCTGAGATGGGAGAGGCTGTTCATACAACTGTTGCCTGTCCTTCACCAGTCAGACCTTTATGGGAGACAAAGAGAAAGAGTCTGTAGAAAAAAATCTCATATCAAGTTCACCAGAAGGCATGTGGGAGAAGGTTCTGTAGTCTGATGAGGCTAAAATGGAGCTTTTTGTCCATCATACTAGATGCTATGTCTGTCAGACACCAAACACTGCATCACATCAACACATGGTGGTGGCAGCATCATGATGTGAAACAGCACAGAAATGGTTTCAAGACAACAGAGTGAAGGTTCTTGAATTGCCAAGTCAGAGCCCAGGTCTCAGTCCAATTGAGAATTCGTAGCTGTAAATACTTTTCATCAGAGCGTTAGTGGGGCGGTTTGGCTGTTGGACCACACCCATGACGAGTCACAAGTTTTTTCAGATCAGGTTTTTACCCTCATCTCGGTCTTATTCTGTGACTCCTGATTAAGGGAATGGACTTTGGGCTGAGAAGTGACCCCCCACTCTCCAGCAGCTCTGAAACTCAGAGGGTTAATATTGCCTCAGTTCACAAAAGCTTCCCGTGAGGCGACGCTGAGACAACAAAGAGCGCTTATCTCAGCACTGAAGAGGGATTCTCTCCTTTCTGTCCATCTCTCTCGACTCCCTTTTGACTGCAGCGCTTATGTTTTCTGCCGTGCACTCAGAGGTGACTGACCTGCTGGGAAAAGATGTGTCAGATGAGGTGTTCAAACCAGCAGATTAGAGCCAAGGAGTGGAGCCCGGATTCATATCAGGGTCCCAGTTGAATGTTTATGCAGCTTCAGGACCACGTTTCTAGAACCCTTGTTGAACTGGATCAAGTCCACGACTCATGGTTTTAAAGGTTCATTCTACCAAAAATACCACTTTCTGTCTAAGAATTTAAATTGTCAAAGGTTTATTCGACTAGTACTTGAAGTTGTAAAGGTTTATTGCATGCAAATACTACTTTCTGTTGAAATATTTCTCATTTAAACTTCATTCCACCCAAAGTGCCATTCTCTGTCCAGCTCATTATAGTTTTAAAGGTTTATTCTACATAAAATAATACTTTCTGACCAAGTACTTTAAGTTTTAGGTTTATTCCACCTAAAATACCACTATGTTTCCACATTTTTTCTTTCTTTTCCTTTTTTTTTATTTTTTTTGCATTTTTTAGTAGCCATTTAGCAGCTTTTGTAATAAATTAGTGGGGTTTTTTGTTGCTGTTTTGTGTCTCTTTGTCATCATTTTGCATCTGTTTGCAGCTGATTTTCATCTCATGATGGTTCTTTCATATTGCTTTGTCCAAAGGTATTCAGTTTATTATCATATGAGGAAAGAAATCAGAATTATTCACATTTTTAAAAAAGGTGCAATCGCAGAATTTAGACTGTTTTTTTCGTTTAAAAAAAAAAAAAAACTATTCAAATTGATTCAAACTGATGATCAGAGCAGTTAGAGATGAACTTAAGAGCAGAAACCTGACATGAAGTGATTGTTTCATGTTGTGCACAATGAGTGAGTGTGTCTGTGAAGTCCATGTTCAGATATTTGGGGGGCTGTTGTTTTGTAGGTCAGCTGACTAGATGGAGGAGGGGTCGTATTGGAGATTAGCTATTTAACAACAGAGATTCATTGTTTGCTTGTGTCGGTAAGCGAATCTGCAAACCTACATAAGAGACAAAGACAGATTCATTAGTTCAGACTGACAGACCCAGTTTACGACAAGAACACTGACGCAGGGTTAAACTTGGTGTCTAGAACCTTTGCTTTCAGTCGCACACACATTTGAAAGTAA